TTGAAACCACAGACCCCTTAGCAGCCAAGTGCTTTAAACACTTTGCCATGAGGGAACATTTCTATTATCAAAGTTAACTGTGTAAGATCTTTTCCCTTGTGTGGTCTTTGGGACATAGAAATGTTCTTAGGACTTTGTGATTGGGGAGCATAAGACTGGCAAACACTTCCACATCTGAAATTTTTAATCAGGACTGATTACTTTTCTTGAATACAAGAATAAATGACTGCTTTGTAAAAACAAAATATCATCCCCAAACAAGAGATATCAAAAATATAAGCAAAAGATAGAGGATTATCCACTATTAGATAAGTCAAGAACATTTTATACTGAGTGGATAGTTAGAAGCTAGCAATTCTTCAAAGGAGTCTTTCAACTTTTAAAAACCTTTTATAAGAATAGAAAGGCAACTGGAAAATTCATCAAATTTCTATTTATTCTTTCTTGTTGCATGCATCAGATTTTTAATGTATAATATATGAAAAAGAAAATAAAGGCTTTTTCTAGGAGATATGTTTCATTATTTAATTTTTAGGGCAATACTAATTATACCTTCATTTATTATTTTATCATCTTCTCTGATGAATTAGAAGAAACATATTCAAAGTTCGTCATCTACTATTGCTTTTCAGTTAGAAAGAAGCTAACAAAGTTAATGTATGAAAAGCAGAATGAAAAAATAAAAATTACAAAACCAAGAAAATTAAGATAATTATATCACAACCATTTGCTTAACTCACGTGCTAAAATGCAATTTTACATATACCATGAAAAGAGTTATATGTGACAATACTAACTTTTACTTAAGTTGATGGCTAAATTGATGAACTCAATGTAGGGTCATATTGCATTTTAATCTGTAGGCATGCTCTTCCCATGTACTGAATCTTGCAGGAACCTTAGAGCACAGATATACAATACTCAACCTATAAGAGAATTGGTTGGTGGATTGCTAAAACTATATTCCTTGCTTTGATGTTGAGTGCCACTCACCTGAATCACACACAGTAGCAATATCACCTGTTGTTTCACTGGCAGTCACGGCTGTGACAGGGCTTTTGTGTCCAGCCAAACTTTGTACATAGCAAAGTCTGAAAAACAAAGTACATTCAGTAAAATTATATTCTCTTATTTGTTAAATTCTTTGCCCAGTATTCATAAGGCATATGTTTTCCTAATTGATTGATTTTAATAAAACTATAAAAGTTTTTATTTTATGCTTGGTATTAATAAAATAT